TGAGTCTCTGATCAAAATGATGCGTGGGTGACTTTTTCCACAACAGGCCAGAGAAGAGCAACAAAAATGATTCAAGGTCTAGAAAACGTGACCTAGGAGGGAAGATTGAAAACATTGGGTTTGTTTAGTCTGGAGAAGAGAAGACTGAGGGGGGACATGGTAACAGATTTTAAGTACATAAAAGGTTACAAGGAGGAGGGAGGAAAAATTGTTCTCCTTAACATCCGAGGCTAGGACAAGAAGCAATGGGTTTAAATTGCAGCAACGGCAGTTTAGGTTCCTAACTGTCAGGGTGGTTAAGCACTGGAATAAATTGCCTAGGGAGGTTGTGGAATCTCTGTTATTGGAGATTTTGAAGAGCAGGTTAGACAAACACCTGTCAGGGATGGTCTATTCTAGATAATACTTAGTCCTGCCATGAATTCAGGGGACTGGACTAGATGACCTCTCGAGGTCCCTTCCAGTCCTACGATTCTGTGATTCTATCACTCTATCGCTGACCTTTCAGTCCTTATCCTCAAAGGAAACCTGCACAACACTTTCAAAAGACAAGCCTGGGAGCTTAAATTCATTACTCTGCTATACACGGAAACTCATGGCCTGAGCAGAGATGCTGGATTTATGGCTTATTACAAGGATCTGTAACCCGCTCACCCCCTCTTTTTGTCCTGTGACTGCAGAGGTGTTAACGGGTCACTTCAACTTGAATGGGCCCTTCCACTATGTGCTAACTACTGCAACCCTTCCACCTGGCATTATGTTGTGACACGCTGAGGACCCTGCCCAGCCCTGAAGATCTGTGCGGCTGGAAAGCTTGTCTCGCCAACAGAAGTTGGTCCAATAAAAGATATGACCTCACTCAGCATGTCTTTCTAATACCCGGGGTCAGCATAGCTGCAACTACATTGCATACAGGAAAACTCCCATGCCTTTGTGTCTCCTGCACACATCCCCTTGTACAGCCCCTTCATTTAGAAAACTCCGGTTCTACAAGTGTGTTAAACACCTTCATGCAAGACAGACACGTTTCCTCAGCTAGTGCACGACTGTACTTTATTGGGCTGCGAAGTGCGTGGGCCCTGTGCAACCGCAATACAAACAGTCAGCAAGTTGGAATACAAATATTCCACTTGTGGAAAGAGAGAGAGGCAGCAGCGGAGTGCTCTGAGGACCTCTCCATAGAGATGAAAACCCTTATCATGTCACACTCCCCTGCGACCCTAAATAACACCCTGCCAGGTACGGAGCAGTCGGAACGATTGACAGGTTGATTTCTGTCTTAGCTGGCCCAGGAAATACTTAGAACAGTTTCTTGGACAAGTGGAGTCATAAAATTAAAGCCCTGATTTAATACCGTCCCACCCCGGCCGCTAAAAAGTTCACTTTGGGCTGGGAGCTGAAATTGACAAGACTTCTGGGCTGGCCGGCTGAGTTGGAAGAAGTGAGAACTTTTACCTGGGTTCTCCTTGCCCCAGAATCAGGCAGGGAATAATTGGGGCGTCTCTGTTTCCCCCAGCTCCGGTGGCGTAGCGGCTGCTCTTCGCTCTGGGGCCCTGCGGACATGACAGCTGAGAAGCAGCTGGTTTTTCTTTTTAAGGCAATCGCCAACTGCATTAGCCCAGGTCTGGAGCTGATCCACCCCTTCTGCTAGGCTATTTATATCCCGGCAGGGGCTTCACGAATAAGGTTTGTTAACGTATTGTGTCTCTAGCTGGGCTGGGATAATACTGCTAGGCAATTCCCTTGCACAAACCGAATGTGCTCTAATGGGCTTAAGGATCCCAGCTGCGTGGCTTAGCTGGCAGATGAGCGGCAGCCCCAGAGATTAGGGGAGGCAGCCCTGCCTTTTGCCGGGGAAGAGAGCAATTATCCCTCCCTCCACAAACTGGCTTCTTTTCGAACCAGCAATGTCTCGTGACTTGGTGTTAATGCTAAGAGGGATCCCACACGCCAGTCACATCCCCTGTCACAGCGGCCATGTGTATTACGGGAGCGCTAGGAGGCCCTCCGTTGAGATCAGGGCCCTATTGTGCCAGAAGCTGTATCTGGCATATGCAGTAAGTGACAGTCCCTGGTCCACCGCGCTCGTGATCTAACCAGGCCACGGAAGCGTTATACCCATTATACAGCTGGGAAACATTGCAGGCCTTGCCCAAGAACGTCCCTGGCGGCTGGGGCAGAGCTAGGCCTACGTTGCGTCAGAGCGTTCAGAACATTAGCCCTGCCACTCTGAGGCCGGAGACCCTCACCCAGTACCCCGACATGGATTAGACTAAAGCGTTTCAGTCCTCCGGAGACTGAACTGTTGTAGCCACAGGCAGCAAACAGGAGGGACTGAGGGGCCACCAGTGCCAATCAGATGAGAGATGCCCAGATGATCCCAGCAGGTGACCAGCACCCCAGGCTGCAGAGGAAGGTGACCCCCCTGCCCCGGTCCCCACCAATCTGACCTGGTGGAAATCTGGTGACCAGTTATACCCTGAGTACATGAGCCAGACCCACCAGCCAGACATTTAAGAAAGAGGATTCTCTATACCACCCTAGGGCACTGGTCTGCCCTGTCCAGTGTCCCTTCTCCAGCTGTGGCCAATCCCTGAAGCTTCAGAGGAAAGTGAAACACATCCTGTCCAGAATACATCTAGCAAATTAGGCATGGGAGGTGAGGAGGAGGAAGATGGAATTCCTTCCTGACCGTGCAGGTGGTTGGCTGAAGCCCTGAAGCATGAGATTTGATTATAGTCATTGTCTTAATGCAGAGCTGCTAGTGTTATCAGTATGCTGAAGCTAATGCAGGCCATCCTGTTCTCCCCATGGCCCAGGAAGGAAGGGGATGAACAAGGGGACTCTCAGATTCCAAGGCCAGAAGGTGCCACATTAGTGGTTCATAGAGCTCCTCAGCCAGTTCCTTTATGAGCCTTGGGTATAAATTTTCCAGGCCTGTTGATTTGAAAGTATTTAATATGAGCAGATGCTGCCACACCTCCTCTTTGGTTACAGATGGTAAAAGTTCTATTCCAGCCACATCATCATCTGGGATGGATACATCCACCTACTTCATTCCAAACACAGATCAGAAATACCTACTGAACATTTCTGTATTTTTAACCTTGTTTACCATCTGTGTCTAGCAATGGACATATGTCTGTCCTCAGGTTCCTTTTGTTCCTAATATGTTTAAGAAATGCCTCATTATTATCTTTAACTCTTGGCCATTGAGAGTGCACTGATTTCTTTAGCTTCCCTTATCAGTTACCTACATTTTTGAACTTACCATTTGTTTCCCCTTTTTTCTATCCTTTATATCTATATATCGGGGGTAGTCGTGTGAGTCTGTATCTACAAAAACAACAAGGAGTCTGGTAGCACCTTAAAGACTAACAGATTTATTTGGGCATGATGCATCTGAAGAAGTGAGGTTTTTACCCACGAAAGCTTATGCCCAA